TCCAGTTACTCTGCATCCTCTTTGTCACCAGAGGAAAGGTCAGTGATTTTAATTAATTCCTTCCTCCTCCGGAGGAAGCGCTAGGGGCATCGTATTTGGTTGGCCGAGCAGGCCCTTCGGTTTCTCCCTGCCTCTAGTAGCGCGGCAGCTTTACCTTGATTGGAAACAATTTTGTTAGATTCTATTCTATTAAGAGTCTGATCAATAGCTGTCTTTTCAGCGTGCATTTAAAAAACCTTAACACTGGTGAATTTTTGTGCAGCCACTTTAATACTGAAGATGGAAGAAGAGACACAACATTTTTGGCATGTTGTGCTTTCTTATTTCAAGAAAGGCAAAAACACGACTAAAATGCAGAAAGAGTTGTGCAGTGTGTGGAGAAGGTGCTGTGACTGTGTCAGAAGTGGTTTGCAAAGTTTCTCGGTACTATTGACATTCTGGCCAAATAATCCTTTGCTGTGAGGCCGTCTTCTTCATTGGAAGATTTTAGCAGCACCCCTGGCCTCTGCCCACTAGAAGCCAATAGTGGGAGACAGCCTGCATACTTAAAATATCCTAATCGATCAAGTTTCTGTGAAAACGAAAAGAAAAATTGTGTTATTTTTTCATGGAGAAAATGTAATGGACTTTTTGGCCAACTCAGCATTGTTCTGCACACACAGCAGCAAAGCAGGGACCCAGAGATGCAGTGAGGGCCCACTCTAGACTTCTGTGACACAGGCATGTTTGTGGGGCATGGGTCAGGGCAGCAGCCTGTGGAACTGTGACCGGGAGACCAGGGTCCATCTGTGCAGGAAATGTCATGACCTGCACATCTCAGAGCCTTGAGCTCTACGTGGTCAGAGTCACCATGTGGGACATTCTGGGGGGCATGTACTGCTCCTTCAGTGGACACCCAGGACTTGTTGTCCAAGGACTCGGGAGGCAGAGAGTGAGCTGGAGCCCTGCTCCTCCAGTGGCAGCAGAGCCAGCGACCACGGACCTGTGCTCACTCAGGCATCCCGTCTGAAGAGGCCGAGGACAGTCAGGGCTCGGACAGGAGCAGGGGACAGCGTGCGCTCTATCGCAGTGCACATGGGACGCAACGGGGACCCTCCAGGTCTGTAGGATGCTCCGTACTCACTCCAGTTTCTGGGTGACAAAGCTGGCTTGAGAGTGGGGACTGAGGACGGTCTAACAACAGCAGGTATGAATGTGACAGGTGTTGGGCGGGGCTGCAGGTGGACAGGTGCTGGCCGAGGTGTCCATAGTGACAAGGCGCCCCTAAAGGGGCCATGGTTCCACGCTGGGAGGCGACCCGCCGGGGACGGCACAGGTGAGACCTGAGACGCAGACCCTCCTCTGGAACGCTGACAGCAGGGACAGCGAGGGCCCTTTGTGAGAACAGGGCGTGTCCATCTGTCAGAATGTGATGCGCAGGCTCATTACATTCAGCTTCTAGGAAGGTTTCTCCCAGACTGAGGAGGAAAGGAAAACGTTTTTACTCTAAGCACTATACGTGTTCCTTTAGAAAATAATACTGAAAAGGCACTAAAGTGAGCAACAGTAACATGAACCCCTCGTGCACAGGGCCCCCCCCAGCTGCCCACCTCCTGACCCTCCTAACCTGCAAGTGTGTTAGGAGATCGGCACAGGGGAGAAAGGCTGCAGGTGAAGCTGTTGGCTAAGGCGGACCTCAGACTACGGAGACTGTGCTGGACTAATGGGGTGGGCCCCATGCCAGGAAGGGGGCCGGCAGTCCAGCAAGACAGAGGGAGAAGCAGCAGCCCCGGTGGCCAGGAGCCCCAGCGTCCAGGAGCAGGTTCAACCCTCCCACTTGCAAGAGTGGCCCCATCCTTGCTGTCAGGCCCTGGGACCCATTCCAGACCCAGCTCCCAAACAGCAAGACCACACGTGTCCTTTAAACCACCAGGTTCGTGGGAGCATGTCCCGGTAGCCACAGGGAACTGGTGCACGCGGATGACGTTCGCTGCATTGGGGAGCCTTCTTCTGAATCTGTTTCTGTGTAAGAATTCTTCTGTTCATTGTTTTTTCTGCCTTTTAAAAAGTAACCATACTGTCTGTCATGTTGCTCCCAAACTGGCAAAGTCAGAAGCTGATTAGCAGAGCAACGACAAGGAGGAGCTCACACGCATTTAGCCATCAATGAGCAGGCAAGTGGAGGGACGTAGACAATCCCCAGAAATCCCGAGAGCAGCAGAGACAAGGCCACCAGCTCTCACCTGGATGCTCCGCCCGGCCAACTGACCCGGCGACCAGCAGAGCTGCTGAACTCGGTGGACTTCCGGCTGCACTGAGTCCATTGTGCCTGGTCCTTCCTGAGCCTTTTCCTTCCTTCCTTCCTCAGTGAGCTGAGATGTTTTGGTTTGGGGAGCAGGGAGAGACTAAGTTTCCAGTTGAAGGAAGTGCGGTTATTACTAAAAGCTCTGATGCCGAGATTCCGCAGACAAATAAATCCCTTTTGTGCACAGATGGGAATGGGCCGAGGGAGCAGCATTCAGTAGTCCCACCCAGAACCGGAGGGCAGGGGTCCACTCGGGACCTCTGCTTCCTTGTCTAGAGGAGCCAAGTCCTCGTCACAGCCCCTCCCCTCTCGCCCCAGGTTCCTGAAAGAACTCTGGTCTCAGGCTTTGAAGCCCATGCCCAGGGTCAGTGAAAAGCAGCTGAACTGGAGCGGAGGTTCAGGGAGAGAGGAGTTTAGATTAAGACTCAGTGATCTAAGGAAAAAGGCACCAGGCACCTAACTCACCTCCCACTGTGTCCCCGTGTGCAGCTGAGGTCCAGGGGACCCTGCTCTGGGGCCGCTGGCCATCAGCACTGGACTGGCCTGCCGTCCAGAGTCCCGGGCACACCAGCTGCCTTCAGGGTGACGTGGCAGCTCCCGCTCCCTCTGTGGCTGCTCCTCCTCCTCTGCTACCTGGGGAGCTGCCTGCTGGGGGCGGGGGGGGGCTGTGCAGGGTTCCTGGGGGGGGGGATGGGCCCGAGCCTGTTTGTAATTAGTAATGTCAAAGGAGCAGTCTGTGTGCCTGGATACAATCCGCTGTTTAGGGAGCCCCTTAGTGGCTACATATACACAGTGTTAAGAGGGCAGCACTTTCAAAATAAAAAATGAAGAGAAAAGAGGAAATCCCTAGAAGTAGTAATCTTGGAGAAAACTGATGCAAAGCAGGTATATTTGCATCCATTTGTAGCTCTGCCGACTGTAATTAGCTTGGAAAGGTTAACAGCTGTACCCTAAAGCATCTCTCCAAAGGTCTCTGTTCCACATCGACAGGACCTGCTTTCAGAGATTATCTGAATTCTCATCTAGTCACATTGTCAGTGCTTGTTTTCGTCCTGTCTGCCCGGGGCCGGCGGCTGTGCCTCTTCTGGGACGGCTTCCCTGGTTCCTGCCCCGTCACAGTGCGCGTGTCCCTGTCCCTGTGTCTCCACACTGAGTCCTGCCAACTGTGGAGGTCGAGTTTGGTAAACTCCCAATTAGATGAGAATACAGAAAAGCTCACATGGACGATTGCACTTTTGGCAAGAGTGCACGAGGGGCACCCCTTGGAGATGCCATGCCATGCAGGTGTGGGGGTGCCCCTATCTGGGTGGGGGTACCCTGTTCAGGAGCGTGGAAGCTGGTCCAAGTCCTGTGGGTCCGTCTCCACAGAGCAGAGGCCACTGAGACGTCCCGGGGAGAACGCAGGGTGTGGGAGCGAGAGTGTCAGTGACAGAACCACAGCGAGTGTGTGACGGTAGCCAGTTCACTGGCACGTGCCCCGAACAGGTCTTAGTGCCCGTGTCTCAGAAAAGCGTTTTCTACGACCTCCTCCACGAAGCACCAGCTCTGGTCAGTGTGGTGCCACCTGTGCCCAGGTGGCCGGGCCGCACGGGCAAACCTGCTCTGCCCGCCTGCAGGTCTGAGGACCCGGGCGTCGGATGCCCCCCGTGAGCGGGCAGCCTGGTGCTAGTGGCCGGGACACTTCTGGGAGCCGGCCCCCGGCTGCTGCGCAGGAGGACAGTGGGAGGGCGGCCCTTGGCCGAGCCGTCCTTGTTGGTGAAAACAGCCCCTGCCGCACCCTGCTGGTTAGTAGCCACCCAGGACCCAGGAGGCCTGGTCCCCTCTGCACACTAGTATGAGCCTCTGTCCACAGCATCTGGGTCGAGGGCCCAGTGCCCAGTCCCACCTGTCAGTTCCCTGGCAGGAAAGACCACGAGGAGAGCACGGAGCGGCCTCTGGTGCGTGTAGTGGAGAAACTCCCGCCTCGCCCCCAGGTCCTGTGATGGGACACAGATGAGGGCCCATTCCTCTCACATGGGACATGCACACGGGAGACTCTGGAAGGGAATGAAGGCCCCTAAGTCACTGGGCCCAACGCTTGCAGACCTTTCTGGCAGGGTCACGGGGCCACCCTGCACTGGGAGTGGTCTCTGAGCCACAGCAGGATGTTGGGGGGCTGTGCCGCCCCCGTGGCCCAGTGCTGGCTGGTGTCCTGTGCTCACGGCCCTGCTGTCTCTGCCCAAACTGATGGGCTGAGCACAGGGGATGCAGGGACAAAAGGGCCACACGTCCCTTGCTCTGGCAGGAGGGCCACATCTCAGCCTCTCAGGCCACTGTAGTTCGGGCCCTAATTGTCATTGAACTCAAGCCTGGCTCAGCCTCCTGTTTATTTTCAGTGAGATGCAACTCTGTGCCAGCCCGATGCAGTGTGTGCTCCAGTGTCACTGGTGTGCACGGGACCTGGCTCCCAGCACTGGCCGTCCCCATGGACATGTCCCAGGGCCTCCCACACACACTCCACACAAGGTCTGGGGGAGACACACCATCACTGAACTGGCGTGGGCAGCCCTGCCCACGGGCGGCTGTGACTGGGGCAGAGCCTCCCTGATGTCCTTCTCCAGGTGGGAAAAGGAGAACTGGACCCAAACGACTCAAACTGCTGTGTCTTAACAACCACAGAGAATCCACCAAAAGAGACTTTCAGGCACAAGGTAGCTCAAAACTTTACAAAAATATGTAACAGCTTCAAACTATACAGTTTATTCAGCGTAACAGAATGTAGATTTTCGATTTTTACAGGAATTAGAAAAACAGAACCACTGACTAGTCATTGCAGACAACGGCAGTTTTTAAAAAGTGCAAATTCCATTTCATCCGCACTTGTCCCGTGAAGTCTGGGACAACCTGGTCCCCACGTGCAGGCTAAGTGACACAGCAGGTGTGCGGGCCATGTGGGGCACGAGGACAGTTCAGGGGGTGCCATCCTCTCTGTGCCCAGCTGGGCCCCCAGGGCTGCCTGTGGCTCCCTGCTGGGCTCCGGCTCCCGGGAACCAGGGGCCTTGGCTCCCCTCTTGGCTGCGCCCAGGGAGCATGTGTGTGGCCCAGTAATTAAAGAGAGCGGAGACTACGCCGGCCTGGTCTGCAGAGCAAAACAGAACAAAAAGGAAAATTGTTATTGTCTGGCAGGTAGTGGCCTTTGGGCCCAAGGTCGACTCTGAGAAAAGGGAACATGACTAAGATGACGGGGGCCTCCACGCCGTGGGGCAGACAGAGGGACGCACTCCTGCTATTTCATCTGCTTGGGCGTGAGCCCCCAGGCTCAGGACCAGCGCACAGCGGGACAAGTCTGGCATCCGAGCCCACAGAACACCACACATAGACTGACATGAAGCGGAAGCACACTGACCAGAAGTGGACCGGATTCTAGCTCTGGAGCTGGTGCTGGGATAGGGCGGCACTCCCCAGCCTCAGGAGGCCGGGCTCCGGGAACTTCCCTTTAAACTAAGGAAATAGGGTGCTAAGAGGTAGCAGCTCCAAGTTCGCAGGGTCGGGGTTGGGCGTTTCTGCACCTCTGCCGTGGGCTGTTCCACAGCGGACACTCCTGCAGCTGCAGGTGCCCACACTCCAGGCAGAACAGCCAGTAGTTCCCACCCCTTGGCAGCATGTACCTGGCGGCATGGCGCAGTGCTCTGTGAACACCTGCAGGGCGCGCTGCAGCCTCTCCGGATCCTGCAGGAGCAGCAGCGCCTTCAGCTGCTCCAGGCCCAGCAGGTCAGCGGCAGACACGCTGCGAGCCTCCAGGCCCATAAACAGCTCCCCGGCAGCCCCCAGGAAGGCCGGGTCCGGGTCCTGGGAGACACCTGCACAGAGACGGCCGTGCAGATGCACGTTCATCTCCAATCCACGGACTGAGGCCCCGCCCAGCGCTCCTCTGACACTGTGGTGGGGACATAAGAAGCCTCCACAAGAGGCAACCTGAGCATGACTCTGCTCATGAACAATGGGCACCTGGCGTCTGCTCATATGACCGGACCCCCTGGGTGGACACACAGGACAGGGACACGAGGCTCTGCAGACTGCACTCAGGCCAGTCTCAGCAGCAAGGAAACCGGGAGGCACGGTGAGCACCGCATGGAGGACACATGCCACCGTCCCCACCGCTGACCATAGAGCTGTGGGAGGGGGGCTGGTGTTCGCCGCACTAACCCTGCATGGAGGTCACGCGACTTGTTCAATCTGACTTTGTGGCCTTCGTGAGCTGTAAACACGCCAAGTCCCTCCTTCACCAGCATCCTCGCCTGCGGGGACCACGGGCACAGGCGTAGTGCTCTCGCCCTCTCTCTCCCTCCCACCTGTGCTGCCCTGCCGTGGCCACGGGCCCGGGGCCTAATCCTCTTCTGTCTCAACTACTGTTCTCAGTGGGTTGCTACGTGTCCGGGTCTAGGATTTCTGTCGTATTGTCCTCTAACAGATGCCACCAAACCAGTGAAACTCCCCATGTTCCCTCTGTCTCCCACATTCCCATCGATCCCACACACTCGAGGTGACGTAAGACCCTGCGGTCTAAGCCCAGGCCCAGCAGGGCGCCCGATGGGTGCCCACCATTTCTTTAGAAACACAGCCAACCACAGCCCGCCTGGGGCGGTGAGGGCCAGGCCACCCTGCAGCCCAGACGCTGCGCTGGCCTCTGCCTGGGCCTGAGCTACTGCTGGTCAGAGCCTGCTGAGAAGAAGCTAAACACTCTCATTTTTGCCTCAAAATGAACGGTTCCTATTGAATAATGAATATTTAATGTTTTGTATTTTAAACATTTAAATATTATACTATATTTGTTTCTATTCTTAAATAAGTAGATGCTACTATTCCAAAGAAAAACAGGAAAAATCATACCATCGTAAAGATACATTTCTTGTGTGGACTTCAAAAAATGGAGGATGCCGTCTGCCTTCCCCTGGACGCCCGGGTCAGCCCCCTCGGCCTCTGCGTCCCCTGTGTCCTCCGGGTCCCCTGCGTCAACCTCGCCCGAGTCGCTCAGCTCGCAGCTGTCCTCCCTGGGCTCGTACAGGAAGCTGATGCCGGAGGCTTTCGTGAGCAAGCCGGCTGCTTTCTTCCTTTTCATTTGCTGTTTCTTTTTCAGTTTCCTTTTCTTGTTTTTGCTGATCGTGGGGCCACCTGTGTGCCGTGGCTGCACTGTTTCCTGTGGGAAAGTCTGTTTCTCCAACTCTGCCTGTTCCCCATGAACGTTGACGGGCTTTTTTAATGCTTTCTTTGTTTTATGCTTTCTTCTTCTTCTTCTCTTTGGTTGATCATGAGGCTCCTGACCTATAAAGGCAAAAATGCTAGTACAATTTTCTGTACAGTTTGCACAGCAAACATATTAACCTAAACACACTTTCCCACTAGGATCTTGTCATTTTAGTAGAAAAGGGATTTTAAAAGAATACAGTGATTCTCAACTGTATTTCAAACAATTACACTACCAAGGATTCTGAGACTTACAATAAAATTAACAGCTTACTTATTCTTAAAAAGAAAAGGCAGGTACATATTGTGAACCCTGAGGGGAAAAAAAAACACCTAATTGGGCTCAAACTGAAAAGAAAGGAAACAAAACAGAAACAGAGCCTAGCAGCCACCTCTGCCTGGGCGCCTCTCACACACATTGCACCCCAGCAAACAGCCTGCTCTTAACTGCCTACCCGCACTGTTGCTCAGCTGAGCAGCCCTTATATAGGAGCACCTGGAATCCTACTTTAACCAATAGGATTGAGGCTTTCCCTATCCAATCAGAGCTGTGCAGCTCCAGCCATCAGTGGCTCTATTCCAGCCAATCAGAACAGAACCCTTTGGGCGGTCCAAACTGTAAGGATTTGGAGCCCTCATTTGCATGAGAATGGACCAATCAGGGACCAGGGACCTGGACTTCTGTCCTTACAAGCCAACTCTGCTGGGGCTTTGGGAGCTGAAGTCTATCTGCACTGAAGACTGTTTCCCTGGCTGAAGCTGCACTGCTGAAGATGTCCCCACTGAGCTGTTTGTACCCAATGAAGTTTTTTTCTACACTGCACCCCACAGTGGGGACTCCTGTTGGTGTTGGGCTGGCACGAGTGACAGTTCCTATGACCAACCTACCCCAGAACAATAGATGGTTGCAACATCAACACAAGATGCCCTAAGTCTCAGTCTCATCATCTGCAAGGTGGAAACGATGCACCTCAGAGTCCAGGTGAGACCCGTGTGTTAAACAGCATGCTGTTTTTTCGAGTCCTGTCCTGAGCTCAGGCACCTCTACATCCACAACCTGGAGCTGAGTAGGCTTGTAGCAGCTCAGCAGTGGCTCAGGGCTGGTTCCCTGTCCTCTGCAATTATTGCCTGGCCTGACCCATGTTGACAGGACGCAGCAGCCACCCTTGAAAGCAAACCAGAACTCCCGTTGTCCCCGAGGCCCTCCCCCAATAGGGCTGATGTGGAGGCCCTGTCCAATGCCTCCAAAGTCCGTCATAAGGATCTGGGCAGCACTGAGAGGAAAGTCGTTAACGTGACCGACTGCAGACAGACTGTTTCTGTTCTGACACAGCAGCTCGGTGCCCTCGGACGGGAGTGACCCATTCGTGGCTGGGACAGCCCAGCGAGTGCGGAGGAAACAGCGTGGTGGAAACACCTCTGAAATCTCTAGGTCAGGACTGCTCTCTGCTCCTCAGACACATGGCTCCATTCTGGCGACATGGCTAAGTGCTGAGCCTCCAGGACGTCCTTGTCTGTGGTCTGGCCCGGGGCACGGGTGGTGCCTGCCTCCGTGCCACGCAGTCCAGCCCGTGGCTCCAGCATCCAGAACCCGCCTGACCCCCAAGCATGAGAAAAGCTGCAGAACATTTGCATGGGGGAACCAGAGGTTTGACTATTTCAAACCCGAGAAGCTGCCATCTCCAAAGCATACCTTTCCTTTCACACATGCTAATTTTAAAAATAACCACTGTTTGTCAAAACCCTCTCCATCGCTGTTTGGCACCCACGCCCCGAGGAGGTGCTGTCGTGGAAACAGACACCAAAACAGGCATCGTCTCCAGCTCCTCTGGCTGTGCAGCTGTGCCACACCACCTGGGAGCAAGCTAGTGTTTTAAAGGGACAGGAGTCTTATTGTGGAATCAGTGCTAAGGCTACAAAGGAGATGACCATGCTCAGTATCCATGAGATCTAGACGCTAAGTAATAGGGAGTAACTTCCATTTAGTCTTGATCTGAGTCATGTATACAGGGCCAGCAGTTAAAATAACAATATCAGATGCTTATAATCTAGGTGTCCAACCTGCGGCCCAGGATGGCTACGAATTCAGCCCATCACGAAACTGTAAATTTACTTAAAACGTTATGAGGCTTTTTTGTGATTGTGTGTCCCAATGCATTTGATGTGTGGCCCTGAGGTACTGAAAGGTTGGACACCCCTGGTACTCTTTGCCTAAAATTCAGGATACTCTGTACTAACAAGTACCAGTCGGGCACATTCAGCAAGGTGAGACCTGCAGAGATGATGGTCTGTCAACAGAAGCATGTCTGTCCAGGCCCTGGGACGGCCGGCAGGGAGCCAGGCCGGGGAGAAGGGATGATGGGTTTGGTTTGGCCAGAAGGATGAAACGCAGACCCAGGCACGGCAGGGCCAGTGCGAAGGACAGAACCTTCTCACTGAGCGCTCCGGCGGCAGCAGCCGCTGGGGCTAGGATGCCTGATCCAGTGTGGAGTACGGAGACTCTGCCTTCAGAGAACGGATGCTCTCTCTTCTTTGACCTTAAGCAGTGACATCTCGAGAGCAGGTGGAGCAGGGCTGTGACGGCCGGACATGGCCAAACTGGCCCCAGCGCTTCAGTGTCAGGACACAATGTAGCTTTTGAATCCAAGTGACCTGAGAACAGACAGGCTGGCCAAACGTAGGCCCACAGTTAGTTGTGAGTACACGAAACTCAGACTTATTCTTGTGTTGTGGTTTATGATGATTGTATCATTTTCCACATGGACAACTATAAACCTGTGTTGGCCCTGCCCTGGGTGGCCCCTCGGTGGTCAAGAGGGCACTGGGTTAAAGTGCTGGCCCTGGTTTTTAGCCCAGAGCTTGGAAGGCAGAGCTGCCACCTGCTGCTGCCCTGACAGCCACCTGTGTGCAGGCGGTGAGCACAAGAGCCGCACTCACCCTCAGTCACCCGGACACCGGCCCACATGCCGTCCAGAAGGCTGGATGCCGGCATCAGCCCCACGTCGCCTCGGCTCTTTTCACACAGGCTTCGCTCACGTGCATTGAGAAAGATGCCTTCACTGCTCACATTCACACACTTGGGTCTTGGAGACTGAGAACAGGACACAGCAGCGGGCCATCAGCCACCCTGACTCATCCCCTGAGGAGGGAGACCCTTGCACATGCGTAATGTTTTAAGTGTCATGCCAGTAGACCATCAGGATAAAAATGAAAGACTATGCACTCTCACCCTGACCTCGTCAGACCCTGAGCCAGTGTGCCCTGCAGGGACTGTCCCCAGTGTCCACCCGGGGCCTGGCCTGGGCTGGACTAGAACCAGTGTCCACCCAGGGCCTGGCCTGGGCTGGGCCACAGGTGGTGAAAACCACACCTGACTGGTCGGATGAGCGGCGCTACCCTAAGATGCTGCTGATGACAGCCCCCAAAGGCTGCAGCAACCACAGACCAGGCTTCTCCAGCACAGCCAGCAGCCACAGCGTCTGAAGCCGCCTGCTTGGAACCAGGGCCCAGGTCTGTCCTGCACAAAGGGACGGGCGCCTAACCCACACAGACCTACTGGAGACACACAGCAGCATGTGCATCCGAGAGCCAGGATGTCACTTCTGCTTCAGGGGATGCCTGCTGTTAAAACAACCACGGCAGCTTCCACAAAAGGACTCGATTTTAACGACTCTGAGTGACCTGAACACAGAGGCCACAGGAATACAAGAAAAGCACACGGGCCAGGGCGGGAGGCAGCAGGGCTGCAGTGAGTGGAACTGACATCAGGACGGAAGCCCAGGTCTGAGCGGAGCCCCGTCTCTGCAGAGCTGTGGGAGCTCTGCCTGGAGAGACAGCGACGGGCCCCCACGGCACCCTCCCACCTCCCTGGGGAGGGCCCTGCAAAAGAAGACACCACATGGAAGGCTCTCGGTGTGGCTGCTCTCATGAACCTGGCAATCAAGGAGGAAATAAATTAACATAAAGGTTTGTCTAACATACAGCTTATAAAAATGTAATTTGTAATAATGTTGCATAGTCAAAGTTATAAATAAAAGTTACCCCTAACTCTGCCAGGTTACCATGGCAATTGAAATGGAATGGATCCTAATTATTCAATTCCCCTTTTTGCTACTGTTTAGAGACATCTCCCTGCTCTAACACAGACCAGGCCCCCCCCCCCCACTCTCTGGGGAAGGCGGGCCTGGGCCCCCAAGACAGGGAGGCCTGCACTGTCCGTAAGAGAGACCTTCGCTGGCACTGTCATTGCCCCACTTCCTATAAGGATGGCACTCTAGCTCAGTCCCCACAGAGCAGGCCAGAATGTGGCACCTGGCCGTGGGACAGACGGACAGACAGACGTCCTGCGGCAGCAGCCTCGCAGCCTGCCCCGAGTCCTCAGCATGCGGCGGCGGCATGCGGGAGAGCCCGGCATGTTCTCAGCATGTGTGCTGAGGGTGCTGTGGACCAAGCTTGGCACCAGCGCTCGGAACGAAATCCGTTCAAGTCTGTGTTGGTCTGTTTATCTGTGCTCACACTCCAAAGACTCCCGGCATCACTCCGCCCCGCCCCCTGTTTGGTTTGACAGTGTCTGACCCTTTAATTAGGAAGTCAGAAAGGTCAATGTGCTAGAAAACCACATTTTCTAAATATTCAAATTAATTTCTTAGTTTACATACTTGGTAGAAATCATCTGGGTATAGCTTTAATTTAAAATTGATATTCCTCTGAAGGAAGTTTTGAAATAATGAATTAAAACCAAATAACTACCATCTCATTTTTCAAGGTTGATACTTAATATGTGACCAAAGCACCAGTCAACAAAGCAAATGAAGTGATTTTATTTTTCTGCAAAAAACATGCAAAGTAAGTTATTTCCACGATTAGAAAATTAGTACGCCATTCCAGAATATTCTGAAAACATTGGAAAATGAAGGAAACAGTTCCAACCCAAGGCCAGTACTGTTGCCACCTGGATGCATTTAACACCAGCCAGCTCTGCGGCCAAAATCACACTCCACCTCCGGGTCTGAACAGGGCCACACACCACCCCCGCCACGCATGGCTGCACAGGGGCCTGCTCTGCCCTCTGGGCCGGCTTTCCTACCTCCGGCGTCCTCCTCGCTGCCGCAGGTGCTCTCGCAGGTGCTCTCAGAACCTGAGCTGCCCGAGGGCTCCGTCGGCGTGGGGGCGGGGACATAGCCCTCGGGAGGCAGAGCGGCGGTGTAGAGTCGCCGACCGGGCGGGGCCTCGGTGCCGCCACCTGCCGGAGGAAACGGGCACAACAGGGAGCAGTCAGCAGCGCCGGTCGTTGTGGGACCTTCACCTGCGCCACATTCGCGGGACGGGGCACCAGTCACCTCAGCGCAACGGACCTCAGGGCTTGTCGCCTCCACGAGCAACCAGGAAACAGGAGTGGTCTGTGATTATTTAAGTTCACATTAAGTGACTTACCATGTAAACTTCTAAAGTTTTGTAACATAACACAAAAATGTAACTACTTAATGAGTAGGAGGGAGAAAATAAAAATCCTCCACACACCTCCCCCCATCACAACACGAGCACGAACGTTTTGGTGACATGTCTTCTGGACGCTTCTCTCCCTGTGTGCTAACAACCTGTATGCACATGTGTGTCTTAATGGGATCGCACTCACATGGTTTATTATGAAACATACGCACATTACACATGTGTCTGTTACACAGATAATATCACTCGAAGGTGAATGTTAGGGTCAAGTAGCACATTAAGATATATTTAAATCTACAGTCTTTTTAAAAAAGCCCTCACTGGAGGCTCTGTTTATTGATTTTAGAGACGGAGGGCGGGAGGGAGGGAAGGAGGAGCATTGATGTGAAAAGCTCAGAGCGGTTGCCTCCTGTTTGTGCCGACTGGGGCACTGAACCCACAGCCTGGGTGTGGGCCCCGACTGGGACCCAACCGGCCACTCCTGCCAACCAAGCCGCCCAGCCAGGCCACGGTCTTTTCATGGCTACAATAACCCATGTACTCGGCAAATAACAACCAATGTCCTACAATTTGCACATGGGGGTTGATTCTAAATTTCCACATGAGAAACAGTTGCTGCGACCGCCGGGCTACAGGGGACTCTGCACACTCGCCCCCTCAGGTCTCTTCCAACACGCCCCTGGGGGGGCCGCTGGTGGGAGGGGCTCCCCTCTCCCTGCTTCTCTGACACTCGACACCAGGCAGGACCGACCCACCCAATCGTCACATTTCACTCAGAATTGGCAAACACAAGTGGATGCCCTGATCTTTCAGAGATAAAAGAAGTCTTAAAAAAAAAAAACAAAAAACAAGGATGGTACAAAATCACTAATTCCTGTACAGACATTTGGTTTCAAGACATTTAAATTGTAAAAACCTTGAAATGGCCCTGGCTGGTGTAGCTCAGTGGATTGAGCACGGGCCTGTGAACCAAAAGATCACGGTTCAATTCCCAGTCAGGGCACATGCCTGGGTTGCAGGCCAGCTCCCAGCAGGGGCCAGTTCCCAGCAGGGGAGGCACCAGAAGCAACCATACATTGATATTTCTCTCCTCTCCTTCCCTTCCCTTCTAAAGATAAATAAATAAAAATAAAAATTAAAAAAAAAAACCTTGAAACGTTTTCAAATTTTGCTGCCATCGATACAGTTCACTTCGTTACAAAACAAAACAGTCTCGGGGAAGTAAGTGCAGCGCAGGGAATGTCCTGGAGAAGAAGCTGTGACGTCTGTGGGGCGGGGTCAGGTGGGTGCCAGGAGTATCGAGGGGGCACTTTATGGAGTCTGACCACTACGCCTGCACCTGAAACTGACACAAAGTAACACTGACTGTCAACTGTAACTGGAAAACTAAAAATGTTTCCCTTTTTGAAGCTAAGATGCACATGGTGGTCTACTTCTCAACTGAAGTCTCTACCACAGGTGGCTAATTAGTCTCCCTGCTGGAATGGGGGAGACTGTGGGGGCGGGCACAGGCCCCTCAGAGAGCTCCCCGGGGGGGAGCATGGACTGTTTGATCATTTTTCAGAATGATGTTTGGAAGCTTTTAATGAGATTGATCTTTCTCAACAAGAAAGCTGCGTGGAGCTTAGAAATGCATTGCTCCCTCCATTCTCAAGACGAGCTCAGGGTCTGCAGAGACAAGCCTTTCGGCGGGAAAAGCGGGCCTGTCATCGGCTGAGAACACCAGTTAGGGAGCTGCAGGCTGACTTCTGAAGCTGCTCTGGGTCTTGTCCTAACGAGACATCATCGAGAGAAGGCCCCAGGTCCCCCTGGGCCTCAGTGTGGCCAGGGGGAGCAGCGTCCCTCCAGCTGTGGGTCCTCTCCCCTCCCTGGGTAGGACGGCTGTGTTGCACGGCAGCTCCCCCATCACAAGGCAGACGCTTGTTCCTGGCTCAGGTGGCAGCAAGCAAAGGACCAACGGGACTTGACTGAGCAGCGGCAGCCATGGGGCACCGTGGCTTCACACAATTTCTCTTTGTCTATTTAATTGTGATTCCCTCGTTTTGCTTCTAGCCCAGATATTTCTTTTTTCAGCTGCAAATAAATTATAATGCTTTTCCTTCAAAATTTCCCAGGCATGTTGCTCTTTCACGAAGAAAAAAAACACAAGTGAAGACTAGAAAGGAAGTTCAGTGTGACAAGGAGCGTGAACAAAAACCTACGGCCGGGGGACACTGCCCACAGTGGACAGGGGCTGGACACTTCCTCGTGACAAGCAATGAGACCAGACGTCCCTATCACACTGGAGTTCTGTCAGGGGCAACTTGTCAAGAAAAACGAGACATCAAAGGCACCCTGATCTGACAGGAAGAAGCAAAACATCTCTACTCACAGGTGACAAGATCTTACCACAGAAAACCCTGAAGAATCCCCCCAAAACCTGCTGGAACAACATGAGGCCCGGTTGCAGGACATAGATCAATAAACGGAAGTCTGTATTTCCATACTGCAGAAGCCTCGCCTTGGCCAGGGTCAAAGGGTTTCCATGCATTTCCATGCACTAGCACTGAGCACTCTGCAAACACACACACACACACACACACACACACACACACACACACAAGCAATGCCATCTACAACAGCATCACACAGAGTAAAACACAGTCAAGTGTAAAACTGACAGCCTCCAAACCGTAACTCATCATTGAAAGAAATCACAGATGACAAGTAAGTGGGAAAGTGTCCTGAACTTACGAATGGACAACTCAGTGCTGTTAGGACGGTGACCTGCCCGGAGCTCCGCAGATTCAGTGCAGGTTGTATCAAAATGCCGGCGGCTTTACCTACGTATTCGTTTGTTTCTGCAGAAAGGGACGGCCTGCTCTCAGATCTCCCATGTGACTGCACGGGACCCTGAGGAGCCAAAATACCCTCAAAAAAGAGCCGAGGGGGAAGACTCACTCTCCCGGAGTCAGAACTTCTTCAAAGACGCCGTCATTAGAATGACGTGGCAGAAAGACAGACGCAGGTCAGTGGGCAAGAACGAGCGTCTAGAAACATCCACGGCCAAATGATTTTTCTCTTTTAACAGCTCTGCTGAGATGGAAGCTCCACGGGTAAGGTTGTCTGTCTAAAGTGTGTGACTCACGGCTGCGCAGTGTGCTCACAGCGCTGTGGATCACACCAGCATCGACACACACACACCCAGAACGGCCGCGGTCCTCGTCGCCGCTGGTGGTCACTCCACGCTGCAACACGCATCAGCGGCTCCAGCACACAGACGTGGCAGAGCCTGCCGCCCACACACCACAGGGACGCGTGGCTGGCTCTCCCCTTTTGTCCAGGGACATGTGTGCGGAAGCTCCTGTGGTTACCTGTCCTCTGTGCCGAGAGGCGGAGGACCAGGGCTGCGGGCGCACGGAGCAGGGACAGCGTCTGAGGAGCTGTCAGACGGTCCCCAGTGCGCTGTGCCGCTCAAGTTTCCCCACATCTCCGCTGTTACTACCCCTCACGGTCTGGGCGACCTTGGACATGGGTCCCCACAACACTGACACACCGCACGGACTCTCAGCGGCAGGGACTTGGAGAAGGATGTGGGGGACATGGGAACAGGACTCGGGACGACCCCCCACCCCAGGCCGAGGGGCTGAACCTGCTACCCAGCGCTGCTCTGTAGGCGGGGAGCCCGGTTGAATTCACTTGGGTCCCAGCTGCTCGTGACTGGAGCCTCAACTGCCCGGGAGCCCAGCCCATGTGCAACAGTGTGGGGTCCGAGTCCTCGTTCGGGACTGGATGCTGAGGAAGGGGCGGTGGCTGTGCCCTGTGCCTGGCCTCTCAGGGCGTCGCCCCCCATCTTGGGACTGCAGTGACCCCTTCCGTCACCTTGCCCCTGTCACCCCGCACCGGACAATGGTGTTCCAGCTGCTCTGCAGCGCCAACTGCGAGCGTTTTGCCCAAGAGCACGCAGGTCTGGCCGGCAGCAAGGTCCCTCGCTGTCCAGTCACAGCCCAGGCTGGCAGGGGGCCCGTGGGGCCCCCCCACCTCCAGCACAGAGGGTGGGGTGCCCCCCTCAACTCCCTCATGCCAGGCGTCTCCCCGATCAAACACACTCTGAATCTTGCCAGCACCTCCTGAAATCAACGTCAGGTCAGCGCTGTGATGTCTGACCCCACGTCTGCACAGAGGATGCAGCACCGGACAAACACCTGTGAACGACACCTGGGACCAGGGACACGTTTAAAGAAGCGTAAGTGGTTGTGAGAATCAGAACGGATGCAGCCATTTAACATGAAACACCTTCCAAACTAACGTGGAACTTCTCACGAGCCATCAGCACCCGTGGAAAGAAGCTGTCACGGTAACTAGGAGTAGCAATGTGAAGAGCTGCCTCATGACCGCATTTAGGAAGAGAAGTGTTACTTTTAAACAGTGATATAAAACATGAAAAGTCCCTCACTGTAGGCAAGAGGCCGTGTGAGACCGAGGCGGAACGGTCTGTCCACCTCGCAGGAAGTGGAGGTTCCTTGTCTCCCGGGGGACCTGGCCTGGGGTCTGCGGACGCACCCTCCGGCCGGGCAGAGGCCGTCACGCAGGGGCTTCGATGTCCCACCAGCCTTGTCACTGATTAAAGCCATCAAGTTGGAAGAGAGAAGAAAGCGCGAGTGGACCCTAAACACAAAACCTCCAAAATGGTCAAGAACCTGGGTTCAGTAAGGTTCTGAGAACAGCAGGGGGCGCAGGGACCAGCTGCTCCTGGGGACGGACAGCCGCCTCCGCCCTGCCCCCCACCCACACCGCCCAAACAGGGCCTGGTGTGCAGACCTGTGGTACTGGGGTCCCTGCCCCGTGTGCTCACAGAGCCGTCCGCTGTGTGTGCATGTGTGTCCTGACCCCTCTTCTTACAGGGACGGCGGCCCTGCTGGATCAGGGCCCGCCCAGTGGCCTGGTTCAACCTCGTCTTCCCCAGACGCCCATTTTTAAACACCAGCTCCCCGGGGCCTCGGGGGCAGGACGTGGACACACGGATTCTGGGAGACACAATGCGGCCGAGCAGGCCTGTTCTTTGGAAAGTAAAATCCCAGCCCACCGTGGTCACCTGTTCCTTAGGACTGGTCCAGGTGCTCTTGCTTTTACCAACCTGACTGGGCAGCAGAAACCCACGGCGGCGATGGAACCAGCTGTGCGGCTGGGACTCCGTTACCCACAGCCCTTACCTGCCACTGGGGGGACGCGCCTGCACCTCGCTTTCTCAGGAGGGGCTTCGGGGGCAGCAGGCGGCAGCACTTGCTTCTCCTGGTCACTTGCCTCACGGGGGAAAAGTCTCTTCAGCACTTTTTCAACAAACACTAAGATGCAACCGATTGACAAAGGAGAGAAAGAGAAGGAATTACTTAAGGCAGTTTTATTTAAATCGCATATAGTCTATTTATAACAAAGACCTATTCTAATATTAACACCAGAAAGCAAAGCAACTGTCCTGACAGGACCCCCAACGCTGTCCCCAGAGATCCCTGGCCACCTCCCTGGGACCTGGGGCTGGGTCGCCCCACTGCGTGCAGGGGTGGAGGCAGCCCCGGAGCTGGACTCCCGGACCTGACGTGGGCTCTGGAGGCGATTCCAGTGCTCAGGTGCCCATCTCCGACCAGCCCAAACTCTCCCACGTGGACAAGCCCGGCAAGCCCACCAGTCCTGGAAGCAGAGGGCTCTCCCAGGCCAAAGTCTCTGGGCAGGGCTGCCCTAACCACACTGTCCTGTCCCTGGCTGGACCCCGGGTCCTAGGGCTCTCCCCTGGAAAAGCAACGAGTGGGGTTCAGAATGCTGTCCAGTGACCACCCCGCCAGAGCTGCCCTGAACGACAGGAAACCCAGCTCCCGAGACACAGGTTAGTCACCTGCCGGTCCAGCCACTCTCCCAGGGCCACTTAAACAAGTCCCGGTCTTCACTCCCGGGAGAGAGTGGTCCCCTCTCCCAGGGACAGTCCTGACAACGTCCCAGGGACTCTGAGTTGGACGGCACTGGTTATGGCAGGTCTGCAGCCTGGGCCGCCTACACAGACAGGGGTGACAGACACACAGACCACCTGCACTCTGGGAGAGCACCTCCCGGAGGTGCGTGTCCCGTGGCCTGAGTTCTGACCCCATTTCCAATGGCAGACACCCCAGGCCCTTCAGCACCTGGTACTCCAGCCTGACTCGCTGCACCCCGAGCCCCTGCCTGTCTCCTCGTTGGGGCCTCGCCGGCTGTGGCCCAGCCCCAGCCCTGCCCTCACGTTCCAGCCATGTCCTCAAGCTCTGTCCCCTCGATCCACCTCATACTCCGCGCCAGTCCCCTTCGGGGTGGGTCCTCCGTGGTAGGCAGCCCACCTCTTGGGGAGTGCCAGGCTTGGGGCTGCTTTGGCATCAGGAGCAGTGCCAGGCTCACTGTGTAGTTAATTTGCTGATAAACACGCAGACCTCTTTCAGTTGCCACAGTTTGAAGCACAAAGTCTTTCTAAAAAGAGTAAGACTTCGCCCTGGCCCCTGTGGCTCAGTGGGAGGGGCGTTCTCCTGTAAGGCACAGGTTGTGGTGTATCCCGATCCCTGCTCAGGGCCACGCCTGGGCTTCGGGTTTGGTCCTGGTCGGGGTGTGTGCCAGAGACAACTGACTGGCATTTCTCTCCCTCTCTCTCTCCCTCCCTCCCTCCCTGAAAGATTAAAAAAAAAAAAAGAATGTGATTTTAATTTCTAAAAATCTGTGTTAGAAGATCAATGTGTAACAAGCAAATTTAAATGATTGTGACTCTGTACCAACGGATCCTGCTGGAAGGTACCTGGTGACTTCCACTTCCCACTGTATCTGAGACCACAGAGCGGACGTACAGCGGGGAACGAGACTTTGGGCAACGCTGACCACCTGCGCTTAACACCTGAACAACTGCCCTGAAGCGAGACAAGCCTTCGGTGCTAAGCCGGCACACAAACAGCACCCTCGGATTCCCAAGGGGCCGAGTGGCCACGTGCCTGGGTGCAGGCAGGTGGAGCCTCCGACCAGGAGAAGGACTGGACAGTTGAGACAGAAATCGTCAGCTGCTTTGGAACAAACTTCCTTGTACAGCCGCTGACGGCCCTGCTGACGCCTGCAGCCCCAGAGTGAGGGACTAGACGAGACCCCCACCAACTGCCCAGCGGTCCCCTACAAACAGGCTTCACGCTGCGAACCAGCAGGCGTCCAGCTGGGTGGCTGTGCTTTGCGGTTCCAGTCCAAGGCGGGACAGAAACGAAGACGACTTGTTCAGGGTGCTGGGCCCAGGGAGGCATCACTTTTACAAAGTGCATGTCGTTTCTGGCCTGTGGAAAGGTGCCCTTTGAGCATGCGTGTGTGCGGGGGCTGGGGGTTCGTGCGCACTGACTGCAGCAATCAGAGGTGGAAAGTCTCTTTTGTGCTTAATCTCCTAAGGGCTCAGGCACAAAACAAAGCTGGGAAGCTGGGCAGCAAGTCTGCAAGGCCACCGGGGCGCACACAGCTCCGTTGTGAGTCGCCCCACATGCAGCCCTGCCCTGAAGCTCCCTGTCACTTCCCAGCAGTGAGGGCACGATTCAACCTCGTGCTCTGGCATCTGTCAAAAAGCGATCACCGGGAAAGAGAAGAGCAGGGATGGACGTTTACTGCCGAGAAGCAGCCGGCCACCACAAGCACGGGCAGAGAGCTCAGACGGGGAATGGCCAGCGGAAAAGGAGGAAAGACACCGGAGATCACGCCTGCCGGCCAGAGGAGAGTCAGGTTACTTTGAAATGGTTTCAGAGAGGGCTACCTGAACGTGCTGTTTCCACTTAGAGACACAGCCAGATAAAAATAAAATTTCAGTAAAGTGTTCTTTGGGAATTAGACACCTAGAAAAAACTGCAAATATATAACCTCAAAAAGAAATAGAAAGCTTGACGGCTGGTGAAGAGCCTGTTCAATCCTAAGTGCTTACTCAGCGCAGTTCCTTGATGGAAAATCTAACAACTGGGAAATTTAGTCTGAGACAGAGGAGTTCGTTCCACCTGTTTGCTGGGGTAACGTGCCCAACGAGCTCCTGGCAAGACGGAGGGAACCCACCAGGTGAGAACAGGCCACCCCTGCCAGCTCAATCAGGTGCGCGCCACCTGAAAAGGTTCTTGAAGAAAAAGAAATGGAAATAGGATATTCTCCTTCTGTAATGTTCACTCTGAAAAAAGCAAAGGAAAATGAAAAATATGTGGAAGAAAAACAAGTGCCTTTGAGACCACTGAGTAAGTTACCCCATCAAGTCATGAACATTCTTCTCTTTCTTAAAAACCTTCACTTGGACACAAAGCAGTGGCCCCGCCCCCCACACCCGTGCACACGACATTCCTTGTCACAGACGCTGCCCCTCGAGAGAGCCTTGGCTGGACATGGCGGGGACGGAGTTCGTTCCTTTGTGGCTCTGTCCTCGGGCACATGAACCACTGTCTCTGGGGAGGCACGAGGCTCTTGGGGGAGGGAGTGCAAGCAGAGCTAAGGCGGGGACATGAGGATGGATGTAGCTCAGAAACGGCCTCAAGGTGATGCCCACAGAGGGCAGGACGCCACGCACTCACAGGACACGTGTGACGACAGAGACCACAGCCGCGGACTGTCATGTTTCCTGTGCAAAGAGAACATGGACCAGCAGGTGCGCCGCCTACCGTTCAGAGGGCCCAGTGAGTGGCTCAGGAATGGAGAAGGGAGATCATTTAGAAGGTGAAACAGGAGTTTGGCTGGCTTTTTTGAAATCACATTAAAAAAGGAAAAAACTCCTGAAGATAAGACCAGAAATGGACATTAACACAAACCTCCGCCATAGCCAATTGCACGTTGAAAATGAACCCTTCTGAACCTGCCGTGAACAACCACCCTCCCCAACAGCCTGCGGTTAGAGAAGACAGAGAACCCATCTCAGCTGGCACTGGCCTGGCGCTCCCCACCTCAGGCCTGGCCTCCGAGCTCCCCGTTTTGCTGGCTTGCTTGTTGTGAAGATTTTATTTATTTTTAGAGAGAGCAGAAGGGATGGAGGAACATCCATGCGAGTGATAAATATCAATCGGCTGTCTCTCCTGTGCACTTTGGCCAGGGACCAAACCTGCAACCCAGGCACATGACCTGACCGGGATCAAACGGGGAACACGGAACGTTCGCCTTGCGGGCCAACACCCAACCCACTGAGTCACACTGACCAGGGCCATGCATCTTGTTTTAACAGCCACTTTAAGTTCAAGTCTTCTTGGGGTTGCTGTATTTCTTAGAATCTGGCATTCTGAGTATTCTCTTTTCATATTTAAATGCCTGCTGAATACCTGCCAGCCCCTCCACAGCTTTCTCAAAAACAACTCCCTTTGACGAGGCACAGTATTGAACCTTTGCCGGTAACGTAGGAGTAAAGGAAGAAGTTAATAGCACCGCACATTCATGGAAATGGAGTTTAGAATAGCACGTAATTCAGTAATGATAGCTTCTTAATGGGTTTCATAATAGAATTATAAGTGGAAAAATAATTAGCTAAGATTTAAGCAACAGTTGGCCAACTTTCTGAAACATTCATTAGAAGAAAAATAGTACTCAAAGGGACATAATTAAAATCCTACACCACAGCCCACCTGGTGTGGTGTCCCCATCAAAGGAGCAGAAATTCACTAACACTCATTTTCTTCACAAACATCAACATTAAAAAATATTCTGAACTTTGTCCAAAGCTTTTCCTTGTAGGGTTCCTGAGGAGAGTTTACTGTATCATTAACTAGTCACACACACACACGCCCGTGTACTCACACACAGAGACAGACACACACACTGCCGAGACATACGCACAGGCAGACACCCGGAGACTCCGTCCCACCGTTGCCGCTGGGGGACCACGCGTGCTGGCAGCCACCCCAGGAAGCCCAGGGTAAGGGGCGTGCCACGCTGACCTCCAGGCCTAAGATGCTGGGCCTAAGAAGACAAGGGCAGGCCGGCTGGCCGGCTGGGACAGAGGCCCACTGACCATCTGAGCTCATCCAAGGATCCTGGCGGACTAGAGGGCATGGCTGCCCTCTTCCTCGCTGCCACACCCCCAGCTCCTGGGACCGTGCCCCGGGAAGGCCCAGCCTGGCAGCTGGCAGGAACAAGTCACTAAAAGGCAATGGCCTGTCTGCACCCAGCACCCAGTCCCCGGCGTGCCCCGTGCCTGGTGCCCAGGGGTCCGGGCCTCTATCAGCACGGTCTGCGGTGAGAGGAGCAGTGTCGTTTAATCCTCGCAACCAGAGGCTCGTCACCATCTCCCTCTGGGTGAGAAATCTTACAACTAAGTATAAGTCACGGGATCAGCCCACAGGTGGGGCACGCTGGGCTGCGACCCTGTCTACCACCAGCCCCGGGAACAAAGGAGCTGCAGCAGTGACAGGTGATGGTGGCGACCACGTGCTCTGGTGAGCAGCTGTCCCAGGGCCCACGGAGGGGATGGCTCCCCAGACAACCCTGGAACTAAAGTCCTGCCCATTCTGTGAGTGCCCTTGAGTGGACTCTGAGAGGAGCAGCTGGACACACAGCCTCAGCAGCAGGGAGCAGGGTGGCTCTGTCCAGATAGACAAGCGCCGCTAACAGGAGTCCGAACCGGACGGGAGGCCCGGGATAGGGCGGCAGACACTGCGCTGGGTCACTGATTCCACGGGTGGCTGTGTGGTTACCAAGGGCCAGCACTTTGCCAGAGGGGATCTGACAGGACCCGACTGCAGGAGCACAGGCCAGCCACCCTTCGCCTCCCAGCACTGTCCCTGGAGGGCAGGTTCCTTCAGCTCCGCCCCCTCTTCCGAGCCAGCACCAGCCCAGGGCCTACCTGACTGAGCCCGAGGACTGTGGAATTCTCCCCAGTGTCCTCTGAGGACAGGGGCCTCCTGGATTCACTTCAGTTACTTCCCAGAGGCCCCTGAGCTCTGGCCCAAGACACACTCTCCAGAACCAGGGATACACTTTTCCGCGTGAAACAGAGAGCATTTCAAAAAAAAGAAATTCACTTTGTATTCAAGGGCAGTGGCTGCAAAGTCTGACACTCTCCCATGACCCCAGGAGCTGTGTTACAAACCATCACGGCGGGCTGACTGCCTGACCCCTGCAAACCATGCACTTTCGGATGGGCTGAGTCTTTTCCAAATGTACGCAGACCGCCCTGAGATGCACCCGCTCCCCTGGCCCAAGGGAATGGCCTAGAATGCCTAGAGCTGAGGCCTGTAGGCCGGCCCCCAGCACCCCCAGTACCACGGAGCTGTCCCGTGGCCAGCAGAGCTCAGGGCCTGAGCTGCAGGACGAGCGTGAAGAGTCTTCTATGTCCCCTTCACACTCGCGTCCCTTCCACAGACGCACAGACAGCCCTGGGTTCTAGAACAGCAGCTAGACCGTGAGGAAGACGGAGGAAGGCCCCAGGCCACTGTCCTTGCCACCTGCCACACATTCCCCTAATTGCAACACGCACCCCAAGTCACTGAGGTACGAGGGTGGGAGCTGGGGGAGCTCCAACAGCTCAGGACTCAAACCTCTCCCAGCTCCAAACCACCCCCCAAGTGGCTCAGGGCTCTGGGTCCCAGCAGAGGGCCCTGCCAGGTCCTGTTAACAGGAGGGGACACACAACAGTAACGCTCTGTTCCCGCTGACAGCTGACAGTTTCAGGATTTAGTAACTGCCTCCCCCCACCAAACACGATGTCCTCAAACTGCTTGCTCCCCTCACACTCTGTCACACTTCCATCAGAGACAGCTTCTGGGGAAGGTGTGTCCTGACTGAGCGCAGGGGGAACAGGTTCTGTTCATCTTCTTTCGGGGGCTGACAAAGGTTTTGGAAAGCTGACTGTCTGTGTTCCAGGTGACACGGTCACTTCCAGCATAAGGCACAGCCCCAGTGTCAGAAACAAGGACGGTGTTAGAGAAACAGGAAAACTCGGCACCAAGCACAGGGGACCCCCATCACCATGCAGGACAGCAGAAGGGGGCACGTCAGTGAACACGAAGACCCCAGAGATGGCCTGTCAGTGGCCGACAGTGGGGCAGACAGGTAGGAGGGTGTCACTGGCATCAGCCACGGCCACCCTGGGGCATGACACCCGACCAAACACAGCCAGGACTCAGTGACACCTGGGGCGGCAGGGACGCACCCACATGGCGCTTCTACAGGAAGGAAGCCACAGGATGGAAACTTTGCCCATGTTCTGCCTTGCCAATCAATTAGCTTCCTTTCCTTGTTTTAAGCAAATGCTTAACTACAGTTGCCACTCAGCTTTTCATTAACCACAATCCTCCGTTTTAAATGCTGAGGAGAAAACCATCATGGCCAGAACTATTCCAAGTAACGTGAGAAACACGCCTGAAAACATAAAACTAGAAGAAAACACACAAAAAAAGCTCCCCAACATCAGTCTCGACGATAATTTTTTGGATTTGACAACTAAAGCACAACCAACAAAAGCAAAAATAAGCCAGTGGGGCCACATGAAACTCAAAGGCTTCTGCAGAGCAAAGGAAACCAGCTACGAGATGAAAAGCAACCTGTCCAACATGAGGGAATATCTGCCAACCATACATCTGATAAGGGGTTCATGTCCAAAATGCAGAAAGAACTCAGACAATTCAACAGCAAAAAGCAAATCGATTAAAAAAATGGACAGAGGATCTCAACAGACTGTCTCCCAAAGAAGACGCCCAGCTGGTGAGCAGGTGCAAGAGAGATGTTCCCATCACTCACCATCAGGACAGCACACTGCTCGCTCACAGTGAGATGTCATCTCACACCTGTCAGGATAGCTGTCATTGAAAAGACAACAACCAACCAGTGCTGGCGAGGACGTGGAGAAAAGGCAGCCCTGTGCATTGCTGGTGGGAAGGTAAGTGGAGCAGCCCCTGGTGAAAGCAGCACAGAGGTTCCTCAGAATACGAGAAGTAGAGCTACCATATGACCCAGCAAACCCACTTCTGGGTACGATCTGAGTGAAAAACACTGACCTGGAAAGCTATCCACACCCCCTCTTTGCTGCAGCTTTACACAATAGGCGATGTATGGAAGCAGCTTCCGTGGGCATGAATGGACAAGTGGGTAAAGAAAACGTGGCATGTGCGCACAACAGACTATTACTCAGCCATGAAATCTTACCGTTTCAGACAACAGGGATGGACCAAGAGGGCACTGTGCTGAATGAACAAGTCAGAGAAAGACAGACACCATGTGATCTCACCTATAGTGGAATCTGAAACAACAAAATGCCTAAACTGATGGACACGGGAGACTAGTGTCTCCTAGTACTGAGGGGTGGGGGATGGGTAAAATGGGAGATGGGTCCCTGTTATAAAATAAGTCAGTCCCGGGGTGTCACACATTGGCTGGTGGCTCTGGCTAACAATTCTGTGCTGCACAACCTAAAGTTACCCGGGAATATAATAGGGCTTTCTTTCTGTAGGAACCGAGTTCCCTGCCTCTGACATTCAATACTAAGGCACCGCCAGGTTAACGGATGAAACACATAACGCCCTGCCTCTGGCCCTGGTTAAAAACACTGTCATTTAATAAACACCCGTGAAGGCCCTGCAATTGGCAAAGCTGCAGGTCAACAGCATTCCCTCCACCGTACAGATGAAGGCACCGAGGCGCAGTGAGGCTGCTGCTGTTTCGTTTAAGGTGACGGGGTCAGTCGGTAGCGTGCAAACCCCGTATTTCCCCCAGAAGGGGCCTACCACGTCAGGGGTCCCACAGACCCCGAGACCTGCCCGAGACCCCCGGACACACAGGGCGGCGCTTGCGGGCTCCGGACGTACCTAGGGACTAGGGGCACCCTCGTCCTGCCAGCGGCCGGGTGTTGGAACGTGAGTTTGCGCCGATGGCTTTGTCTGAGTCGGCGGCTCCCCAGTCCCCCCGGTTCCCTGAGTGCTCCGCTGCCCAGTCCAGCCTACCGTGCCTCCGCGCCGCCGCCATGCAGGTCCGATGACCCTCGACCCCATACTGGGCCGAGTTCTGCCTGCCGCTTCCGCACCCGCCCTGTAGGCCCGCCCACAACAACAGGCATGCCCAATCCGGATCCAGGGTCTCTGCTGCAGATGTCCATCAGGGGCGCTGCGGTTTCGGATTGGCTCTGGGAAATCCCTGGCTTCTGGGGCCCTTCTATCTCCGGTGCGCTGCGATTCGGCAGTTGAGGGATCCGCGGCAAGAGGGGTCAGCGGAGAGGGTCATCCCGGCGCGGGGGGCTGGGAGAGTGGGTTGGGCGAGGGGGCCGTGGGCGGGGTCTGCTCGGCGTCCACCGGGCCCGCTCCCAAGGCTCCACGAACCCCGGGGCTTAGGGGACCTGCGGGAGCTAGCGTCCGCGCTCAGGCCCTCCTCCCGCGTGCGCAACGGGGCAGCGCCTTCGACACGTGGGCCGTCTGCGCTCCGGCCGCCCGGCCGTCCTCTCTGGACCGGGTTTTATGTTTGCCCTCTTTCCCGGGCGCACGTCTTGGGTAACGCATTTGTGAGCGCCTATGTCTTTATGCTGGGGGTCACCGCGCGCGCAGGGGCGACAGTATACAGTGAGATGGATGGCATGTCTCAGGGATACTGGAGCCTGGGGAGAAAGGGGGCCCAAGTGGCGCGATGGAGTGGTCAGAAAGCCTCAGAGAGGGGAATTTGAGCCATGCTCGAAGTAGGGTACAGCAAGTGCCCCCCACACCCCTGGGTGATGGCGTCTGGGGAGCAGCGCAGAGGCCACCGTGAACCGAGCATAGTTATGCACAAGGGGACGGTGATAGTGACAGACATGGGCTAATAGGAGGCAGACCTTAGTGCTGCGGCCAGTCCCTGGGGCAGAGATCAGCTTTATGTTTTCCAGTGGGCGAGATGGAAATCTGGGCTGGCTTTAAACCAACCGGAATTTCCTGACACCTGAAAGGAGTCCCCTGCGCCCCCGTGCGGAGAGCAGAGTTTGGTGGTGGACACACAGAGACCCGCTGGGTCCGCTGAAGTTAGAAAGGCCTTGGTGTCTGGCCACCATGGACAGTTGAGGGAAGATATGGTTGGATTCTGGATGTATTTGAAGAGAAAGCAAAAGAGATTTCTGACTGACCAAGCATGGGCTGTGACAGAGGAGAGGTGTACAGTGGCCCCTGGTTTGTTGGCTGGTGTTTCACTGAGGACAGCCAAGCCCCCGGAGGGTCATCACTGGGGATGGTGTGTGCCATGGTAGGTGTGTTACCTGTGAGGTGATGTATAGATGTCAATGAAGCCGTGGAATCTGATTTCAGAGTTCAGGAGAAAGGCCCAGGATACAGATAGAGAACTGGGCTTGTCTGCATTTAGGTGACCTTTTGAGCTATAAGAAGGACTGAGTGGACAGGAAGCAGCCCAAGGACTGAGCTCTGAGGTCCTCTAACTTTCAGAAAGGGGGGTGGCAATGGAGGTCCCAGCTGTAGCAACGAGAGGGGCTGAGTGGATAGGGAGCTGTCCTGAAGCCAAGTCTAGAAGTCACCATTTGTCTTGAGTGATGTTGATGGGTGAAGGTGAGGGCCGATCACAGACAACTGGATTTGTCCAGTGCAGGTCACTAGTGACCTTGATTACAGAAATTTTATTGGCATAGGGGAGGCAGCAGCTTGATGGGAATTCAGTAGAACCACAGGAGAGAAACTTAAGACAATGAATGCAGATTGCTCTCTCTTGGGATTGGGAAAGTGGGGCAGTAGCCAGAGGGTTTTAAAGACAGAACACACACTGCACACACTCATATACCCAACAGAGGGTCTTTAAAAAGGAGCAGAACACACACCACACGCCCAGCCTGATCAGGTGCTGAAGCACAAACGATGTGAGTGAACAATGGGCCGAACACCTTTACATACGGAGACAAGGCACAGACGGTGAACAGCACATGGAAGGATGCTCCCTGTCACATGTCATCAGTCAACGGCAAATTACAGCCACAGTGAGACCCCCCACAGACCTGCTGGGAAGACCCAAGTCCAGAGCGCTGACAGCCCCCAGGGCTGGGAGGGTGGGGGCAGCAGGACGCTCTCACTGCTGGTGGGACGCAGACGGACGCCACTTTGGAAGACAGTCGGGCGGTTTCTACAAAACTAAATATACTCTGGCCATGCAACCCAGCAATTATACTCCTTGGTATTTACCCAAATGAGGTAAAAATGTATGTCCACAGGAAGATCTGCACACAATGTTTGATAGCAGCTTTGTTCCTAATTGCCCAAACTTGGAAGCAAACGAGATCTCCTTCAGTAGGTGAGGGGTAAACTGTGGGAAAACCAGATGATGGAATATTGTTCAGCTGTAAAAAAAAGGAGCTCTCAAGTCGTGAAAAGACATGGGGGCACCTTAAATGCACATTATTAAGGGAAAGAAGCCAGTCTGAAAAGATCACTGGTTGCCAGGGAGTGGGGGGAGTGTCGAACAGGGGAGCCCAGAGGGTTCGGGGCAGTGAGTCTGCTCTGTGAGATGCTATAATATGTACATGTGTCATCATACATTTATCCAAAACCACAGAACATACAACACCCAGAGTGACCCTGATACCACCTGTGGATTCTGGTGACGACGTGTCAGTGCAGGTTTGTCAGCTGTGACAAATGTCCCACCTGGTGGAGGTGTGGGCAATGGGAAGGCTGTGTGTTGAGGCGGGCAGAGGTGCATGGGAAATCTCTGCCTTCTCAATTTTGCTGCAAACCTAGAACTGCTCTAAAATATAAAATGGCTTTTTAAAAAGTGGTGCAGACGAGGGGGGACCTGCCGGATAATGTTGTTGGTTAGGTTGCATGTGAACCTGCTGCTCTCTCCTTCAAAGTCCGCAGCAGCCTTCCAGCCCACTCTGGACAATGAGGTCTTCCCAGAAAGCACCCGGTTTCCTCCAGCCCCACTTCTTTAATCTCTTTTAGAGCCAAACCTCGAAAGTGTTGATGACAAAGTCAGTCTCCACTTTGTCATCTTCAGTCGACTCTGCTGTACGTGTCCTCCACAGCCACTGGGTGGTAACTGCTCTTGCTGACATCACCAGTCCCTGTGCACGTCCCAGCCAGCATTCAGGCTCACCCAGTGGTCCCCCGGGAGCACCCTCCACCCAGCTGCAGAACCAGACCTGGGACCCTGCATACTCCCCCCAAAAACCAACCCAGAAAAATAGCTTCTGTGTATTCCACCTGCCACATCTCCAGCCCCCGCCATCTAGTCCCGGCTCCATGGTCACCCCTCAGGAGCTCCCCAGGCACTCCAAGGTTGATACCCCCACCCAGTACTACACCTGTGTCCCCACTCCCAGCCACCTCCACCTGTCCTCAGGGCAGCCAGAGTGACCTGCGATAACTCTCCGTGCTATTCAAAAGTCTGTGAACACAATCACAGTAACAAGATAAGGAAAATCACGTGATCGTATCAATAGATGCAGAAAAAACATTTGATATAATTCAACAAAATCCAAAGTTCAGATGAAAACAATACCAACTAGGAACAGGGGGGAACTTCTTCAACGTGTTAAAAACCATCTACACAAACCCTGCAGCCAAGGTCACAGTTACTGATGGGAAACTGGCTGCTTCCTTCCCGCACCATGGCGTGTCCCACCACCCCTCCCCCACACAAGACTGGAAGTCTTAGCTAATGCAGAAAAAGAAATGAAAGGTATACAGTTTGGGAAGGGAGAAATAAAACTTTGTCCACAAACGGCACAATTATCTATGCTGAACATCACTCCCCTCTCAGAATTCTGCATCGAATTGCACTGTGTCTGGGGTGTTACTCAGAGTCCTTCGATGTCCTTGAAGCCCCCTGACGTGCACTGTGCACATGTTCATGCAACTCTCTCCTTGCTCACCTTGTCCTGGTTACCACGACTCTCCTCCAAGTCCTTCCACCCCCACAAACCTCCCCCACCTGGATCCTAGTCCTGCTCTGCCCTGACCCTCTCTGCTGGCACCTCCCACCCTGCTGGTCAGCCAGAGAGACCAGAGAGGGGCAGCGGGAAGACCACCACCACTCCCTGGGGGGTGGAAGGCAGACCAAAAATGCCCACCTTCAGAGCGCCTTCACGGTGCCTTCCGGGGCCCCCCACGGGTCTGAGCACCCGAGGCCCACAGGGGTGCCCAGCTTGAACCCACGTCCAGTACCATGTCCTCTCCCCGGTTCCCTGGGTCCACCTCCCACACAAACTGCCTGCACCCAAGTCTACAGCTCAGCACCTGCTTGTGGGAGAACCTGGAGGAAGTGAAGGTTTGACTTGATCACAACTTCCTCAGACAGGTGTTTCCTGATGCCACCATCCGTATCGGTTGCCCTTGCAACTTTCTCCAGTGACACCCTATCTCTTTTCTTCGGGGAAGCAGTTAAACATTGTAATTATATTACACATTACTGTGTTATTTTGAAAAACGATGCTCTCCCTAGACAGAAAGGCCAGTGTCTGCTTCTGCTCACACTGCAGGGCATGTGAGAGGCACCCAGCACATTTTTGTGATCTGTGTTGTGCTGTGACATGAGTGGATAAATAAATGGATCTCAAAAAATTGGAAGTATGGGGACAAATACGGGGAGGATGGAAGTAAAGGGGAAGTCCACCGTAACATAAAAACACTGACCTAGAGTCTGGATTTTGGACAGCAGTCTGGGACACACAGTCTTGTGGTTTTGACCAAGGAGACAGCACTTTATGGCTCTCAAAACACCATGAGGTTTGACTTCGGTGAGTTCTTTGTTTCATCGTGGGTCCACTTGCCTCAGCACCTAGAACTTTCCTGGAAAAATAAATAACAACGTGTTAATACAAGTGACTGATTATATGGAGAAATCTCATGGAGACAGGATTTTGATTAAAGATCCTGGAGCTTCGGAAAAAACTTCTGTGTTCCATCCAAAGTAGTTTGATCTCCTGGTTCTCTCTTTCTGTCGGAATCCCTACCCATTTCCCAGAAAATTTTCATTTTGGTATTTTTCTTCTATCAGCTTTTTCGCCTTTTATCTCACTTAAACCTCTCCGCACCCCGTTAGAGAGACAGAAGAGCCCTTGATTGCGGACGTGTTAAAAGCCGGGCTACCAAGCGGCCCCAGGTCAGTTCCTGCGCCACAGAGAGGGCAAAGTGGCCCCAGGACTTCCCTTCCCGCCCAGCTTCCGGTCTTGGATGGGCATCTCAGCAAATTTAATTACAGGCCATCAAACGTGGCCAGTGTCATTAACGTTTCCAGAACGGTGCAGGTTATCCACACCGCCTTGCTGAATTAATCCCCCTCCCTCGTCCCTGGCTGTGTGGTCTCTGTGCTGCTGACAGCGAGCTCACCCAAGAGCGGGCCCCGCGGGTGGCGTTCCGTGCCTCAGGGGACATGGCCGGTGGCCCCCTTTCCCGCGAAGACAGGGAGGTGTGCGCGGTGGACGAGTGGATCGCTCGGTTGGGGGCACCCACAGAGGGACAGACAATCCATCCGCCGCGGGAGCGTTGGGGTGTGGAGGAGCCTTTACCTCGCCCACGAACCCCTCACAAGAAGGAGCCCACGTGTCACTCTTCGCGTCCGGGGCGGGCTGCAACCTGAGCAGGTGTTCAGGTGCGCGTGGCATCCGTGGGAACTTCCCAGCACTTTCGCATCTGCTCCGGGGAAGCAGTGGGGCCGCGGGCGTGCTCCAAGCGTCTCGTGTCCCCGCTGTCCCCGCGTGACCGGCTGCTCCCCATGCAACAGTTGGCGGGCGGCGCGGTGTGCGCGCTCCCCAGGTCCGTTCGGGGAAAGGGTGGAAAGGGCTGGGTCGTCGCCTGAGGCCCCGCGCTGTCCCTGCTCGACCCGGCTGCTCCCCAGTTGCCACCCCCCGCCGGCCGCCCCCCAGTGCGCGGGGCCTCCCCGGGCGCCCAGTGCGCAGGCGCCGCCGGGAGGACCGACTGTGCGCCGGGCTCGAGCGCGGTCGGAGCGCGCGGCGGCGGCGGCTGTAGACCACGGACCCGCGGGCGCGCTGGCGGACGGTCGGACTGGGGGACAGCCGCGCCGACCTGAGAACCGCTGTCCGGCCGGAGGGGCCAGCTCGCCATGTGTCCCTGCACCTGCTGACCCTGGAGTGCCAAGGATGTCCGCGCTGAGGAAGGTGCGAACCGCCGGGGCCGCGGAGCCCGCGCGGGGACCGGGTGCGGGGACTGGGCGCAAGAGCCGTCGGAGGCGCGGGGTCCCAGGCTGGCCAGCGACCTGCCCAGACCCTGGATTCCCAGGGGCTCGGACGCAAAGCTGTAATATTATGCGCTCGGCCGGGCGGGGACCCAAGGAGAGGGCTGCGCGCAGGATGGGGGCGGCGGGTGGGAGCGGACCCCTCGGGGAAGGGACGCGGGTGCGGCGGCCGGGGCTGAGAGCTTGGGTCGCGGGGGTTGCGGTCCAGGGCTCGCGGTGCCGGCGGGTGGCTGTGGCGCGGGCGGGGCCGGCGGAGCGCGCCGCGAGGGGGTGGCCGCCGCCTGCTCTCCGCGTGTGAGCGAGAGCTCGGGGGCTTTTTCGGGCGGTTGCTAAGCGAGGCGCTCACGGCGCAGGATTTTGTCACCAAGCCTCCCCCGGCAGCGGCTGTTGCTGCTCTCGGCTCGCTCGCTAACGATCGCGCAGAAATAACGGGATGTGACTGTCGCAGCCGCGCGGCGCGGGCGGGGGCCGGCGGGCCAGGTGGCTGGGGGTGGGGGCGCCGAGTGTGCGCGGCTCGGAGCCGGCGGACAAGGATGGGGCGGGCGGGACGCAGAGTTAGAGGCGGAGGGGCGATCCGGCGGAGACCCTCAGAGGCAGAAGGGGCGGCAAGCGCGAGGCACGCGCGGTCGGCGGCGATTCGCAGCGGAAACTCCGAAGCTCCAGCCCTTGCTTCGGCTCCTCTCTCACTTCGCAGCTTCGGTGACTCCAGCCGCCTGCGCGTCGCTTCTCCAGATGAATGGCTAGGGCTGGGGTTGCGGGACTGGGAGTCGCCCGTAGGGCTACGAAGAAAGCGTTCGGCAGCGAGTTCTTCCTCTTGTCCTTAATCCTGGCGGCGCGAGCTGTGGGTGGTGTTAGAGCCGGGACTGTCCCCTCGCACGTGGAGGCAGCAGGGCGCAGGGAGCGGCTCCGGACAGCACTGCCCCGCGGGCCTCCTCCTGGGGTCGGGTTGGCTCTCCGCGTGCAGATCGGAGCCGTCCCGGAGTCCGGGACAGCGATCTGGGTCGCTAGGGCTTGTTTGCAGGTGGTGACTCAGTTGTACCAGTTGTTAGAAAATCGCCCTGCGTCTCGGCATCGCCTTGCGGAGTCCACGCACCGCATCTAAAGGGGCCGCCCTCCCAGTCTCAACGCCCACCCCTCCCCCACACCTGGGAGCGAACAATGGATTCGAGGTTAATGCGCATTATACCTTTTCCATTTTACCTCATATTCTTGGCGAAAGGTGATAGGCAATTAAGGAGACAAATGATGAAACGATGAAAAATGGTAATTTTTGGCAGGTCAAATTGTTACTCTGGTGTTTGAAAAAATGCTGTTAATCAGGATTTTCCAGTGGCAAGTTGTCTCGTTCAGGCGGCTGGGTGACTCACAGGGTTGGCAGCGGGTGCGCACTCCCCTGGGGTGGCGTGACTTTTTCGTGGCTCCAAAGAGGACAGACGGGGCTGTGTTCGCCCCACATCTGGCAGCCTGGCCAGCGGGCCTCCGGGAGCAGCGTAGGTCCGGCTCCTCTGGGCTGTGAGGGTTACGGACTGCTGACCGGCCCTGGGGCCCACGGAAACGCCCCTTTCCATCACCACTGCGGACGTCCAGTCCCGGTCAGGATTCCCCTAACTGTGGAGCTCATCCCCGGTGAAGCCGCTGCTGCCCCTCATCCTGCCAAATGGCCCGTTTGGGTCAGAGAGTCAGTAACTGTTACGTCCCATCTGTCCGTGACATTTCAGGGGAAAGGGTGCGTTTAGTGAGCAAAGTGAACACTTGATAAATCCCAGGTAGTGTCATTACAGTGAAAGTTCTCTCACCACAGAGATGCTTTTCAGAGAAGCTCAGTCACCTTTTCATACTGTTTATTATTATTATTATTATTATTATTATTATTATTACCTTTTCTTCCAAAGAACTTGACACTCAGAGCGTAATTATCCAAAGGAGTTGCTTACCTTGAGACAGAAATAAACGTGTATTTATTTACTAAAATATTTTTAAAATATTTACAAGTTGTTTTAACTGTCTTCAGTTGTGAGTATGCAACACAGTTTATTCTTGTAGTGCCATTTAGCGCTGCGCTATTTTCCACACGAACAACTGTAACCCCTCCCTGCATGGTCACGATTTCTTGCTAGGCCTTAGGTTACTTATGATGTGGATGAATTAACAACATTTTTGAAAACAGAATTTAGATTATTCCTCCCAGAGAGATAAATATGTCATCCTATGGCAATCTACTACTTCTCCTGTTTCTGTCTGTTTCATTTTTTATTTTTTAATCAATGTATGGTTGCCTCTTGTGTGTTCCCCGCTGGGAACTGGCCGGCAACCCAGGCATGTGCCCTGACTGGGAACCAAACCTCGATCCCTTGGTTCTCAGGCCCGCACTCAATCCACTGACCCACACCAGCCAGGGCTTCATTTTTGAAATTGTAGAAATCCCAAATGAAATATTAGAAGCAAAAAGTGCTTTGCAAAACTTGAGTCCTCTCAGTGTCCACATACCCAGAATCCCAGCCATTCTGAGACTGAAGGGCTCTGGTGGTTTTGAAACTGTGGAGGAGCAGCTCCCCTTTCTCGGGGAGCACCGCCCACGTGTGCCTGTGTCAGGGCCCCGAGGAGAGGCCGCCGCCCTCTGCGACTGCCTTCCAGGGAAGCGTCACTGCTTCCCAGCTCCCCCAGAGCCGGACCGAGGACACACTTTGATTACAAGTTTGAAAGGGAGATGAACAGAAGGGGTCATTGCTCGCCCTTCGAAGTGGCTGTGCCGTGGCCGTTCGCCGGACGCACTGGGCATGGCTGTGACTCACCGCTCCGGCCAGATGGGAGTTGCAGCTCCAGCACTAGCTGCTTTGGAAGAGTCATGGACGTCCACACAGGAAGCGGCGGGCAGAGCAGCCTATGCAGCAAAAAATGATTCTCAGTCAACTGGCTTTGCATGGAAGTTACTTTATGTAGAAGCTTTTGAAGTGGGTTCCATTGTCTTCAAGGTGCTGTATGCGTCCAGAGGGGGTGCGTCCTTCGTGTTGATGAAAACGGTGGACAGGGTGTGGCTGCAGGGTGTGCAGGTCGCAGCTGACTCCTGTGTCCGCTGCAGGGAGACCCGGCACCTTTACAGTTGCCTCCATTCGGGCGGCCAGAGTTCATGGATAAAGCCCAGCCGGCCTTCCTTCCGCCCTGCTTCCTGCACTGGCCTCAGCTGCCAGCCGGCCACTTCCAGGCAGCAGCTGGGGGCTGCACCAGCCCCTGTGGTCGCTGTTCCGACACTGCCCACGGAGGCTCCATCGCAGTGACTCTGAAGTGAACAGCCGCTCCGGGTGGCTGTCGGTAGTTTTCCATGCCGGGAGTCAGGCTTGTTCCTGAGCCATCTGTCTTCCTGGGCGGATCTTCACAGGCCAGTGTCTCTGGTTTCTGCCGTGTTTGCTGTCACGGCTCCTGCCCTTCCAGGGCCGCTGTGTGTGGAGGTCCCTGGGGAGCCACCCCTGCCCGTGTGTAGGGCAACTTATGGCCCCCGGTGCTTCTCAAGTCACTGTGTCAGTGAAGGGCGTGACATTTCCTTTCGCCAAGAGCTGCCTGTGCCTTGGAGGAGGGCAAGAGTCAGGGAGTGAGGCTACAGGGTGGCCTGGGGCGGGGGGGTGGCGGTGCAGGCCCAGAGCACCCTGCTCAGGCCCCGAGTGGGGCTGGGCCTGGGGCCGGCGTTGCTGCTGATGTGCCGTGTTGTGTGAACTGAGCAGCTCCTCCCTGTGATGTGAGTTTCTGTCCCTGACAACCCAATGGGATGGAAGTATTTTCAGTTTCTCCAAAAATCTCCACTTTAGGCTCTCGTTCTGGGGCAAGATTTGTGGGTCCGTGACACTTCTATCTGCTATACCTTTTTATGTGTAGCCACAGGAAAAAGAATTAAAATGAGACGTGACTAAAAAGAAATAGACAGCTATAGTCAGCCCGTCCATAAAACTGCAGAGCAAATTAAAAAGGTAAACTTTGAAAATCTAGTTGGTCATTGTCTCTAAAACTATGTGCCACACTCTGCACAAAAGAAAAACATGACTGAAACAGTGACCTGCAAGGCCATGAAGTATATATTTTAAGCCAGGCAATATAAAATTATCCTGTAGTACTTAACTAAAAATTTTCCTGCCATTTTTTGCATGACACCAACCAGCAGCTTCTTGTAGCAGCAGTGTGCAGGCCCCCGAGTCGGGCTGCCTGGGCAGCTGGCACCGTTTGGCGGGTTGTTGGACCTCAGCATATTGACCTCAGTTCAATTCTGTCATCTCTGAAAGAGGGTTGGGTACAGTACTGGCTCGATAGGATTGTCACAAGGCGTACAGGAGCAGATGCTGGAGAGTGGGGACAGTGTCCATGGCAAATGCTCGATCCATGTTGACTGTTTATATCACGAGGAAATAAAATGGAGCCATCTGACACTGGAAGTAACCAAGCTATTCCCCGAGTTCTTGGAGACCTTGGATTATTTCTAGTCTTCACTTAATAGGTCTGTTTTGCCCCCTCTTTCCCAAAAGTTTTGACCCCACATAACCACAAAAGAACAAGGGCAGAAACATTAATAAAATAGAAATAGACAATTTGAACCAACAAGTGTGATAACCACGAGCGTTGCCATAATTCTTTGGGCAGCAACTTGGCTTCTGAGTTTCCTGGACGCCAGGTCAGCGAAAACCAGCCCCACAGCGCTTGCTCGGCGTTTTTCGGCTGGGAGGGTGCTTCTGGGTGCATGCCCTTGGGGTCGCAGCACCATGCACCACAGGGACACACCCACCCTGTTTTTGAAGGTGGGACCTTGTGACAGACTTTGAGAGAAACCGGAGTGAAGCCTGTGTGCATGGCCACGGAGGTGTGGCCGCTGTCCCCTTGTACTCATGTGTCATTTCCCCCACCCGGTGGCAAACTCCGTGGGCCCGGGAGGCAGGTCTCTGC